GGGTCTTGGGTCACACGGCTGACCCGGGGTTAGAACAGAAGGGGAGGAGCGTGGAGCTCGAGGATGCCAGAAGGAGCGATTCTTGTTGGAAAGTGGAAGGCCTGCTGAATTGGATTGGGCCGGGTTAGGGGGTCGTCTATGGGGGCGCTGCCAGTGCCGTTTCTTCCTGGATACCACAGTCCAAGCCTGGTCATGGTTTTCTGGTAAGGAAACTGATGGAGAAGCAAGATTGGCTTGTTGAAAGAGTCTTGAGGGAGGCGAGGCTGAGGACCACGAAATAGAGATGCGGTAATACAGATTGTCAACTTCAAGCCAGACCGACTGAGGGATGTGGCTCGTGTCTAGGACTTCCAAGAGAAGTCGAATGGATCCCAAGGGTAAGGTTTCGATGGACATTTAGTGAATGGAGACCATTGAACCACAAGCTTCCTCAATCCTCTGGAAAATCTCAGAGAAGCGCAGGCTCCTTTGTTTGCAGAAGGAACCTTCTATTGGTGGCCAAGCCCTAAGAGAAGCGCAAGCTCCTTTGAAAGAAAGGTTGGAGGCATCCTGTAAGGCAAGTTGAGCTTCGATAGAGGACGAGAAGGAGAACAAGTAATCACCATTCGAGAGGCGTCTGCAGGATAGGTTCGGTTCTTTCAGAGATCTACAAGCCCATTTCTCGATTCCTCTGAAGTCGTCACGACGAGGAGAGAAAGACACTATTAAAGCAGCAGACAGTTTAGAGCAATTAGACGCAGTCTCCTTGGGAGAATGGAGACAAGCAGAAGGAAAGGAAAGGAGAGCAGGAGGAGCGAGGGGGGTCTCAAGAAGGCAAAAAGGGTTTCGGAGGGGGGCAGTGGTAGTTTTGGTCGCAGAGGTGACCTGAGCAAAATACGCCTTCTGGCCGGGGTTAGTGGTCTCTTGGGCCACCAACCTGCTACTCTGTTGGGAGGTTACAAGGGAGGAGGATGAATCACGCGGCGGGGTTGGGGAAGATGGGTTTTAGGATGCAAGTCATAGATGTGGTTCCAGCTGAGAGCGGGGAGGGAAGGAGCTTGAGGCATTGATGGATTTTTACTTATTCTTGTGGACTTGGGTAGCCATTAACAATTTTTATCTTTCTTTAGGATTAATGTGGGCCTTTTGGTTGGTTAGGATTTACTCAAGGGACTCACGTGGAGCTCCATAAAAATAGGAGTAGAAAGAGGGGTCCTATTTTGAAGGCATTGATGGTGTTTCTTATTGTAAAGGGTTTGCTGGAGAGATATGTGGGAAAAAGAGGAGAGGGAGTATTTTCCTAGATTTGTGGACCTAGGGAGAGAAAATAGGTGTTTAAGAGACATAGAGGGGGAAGTGTGTGGGGTGATAGAATTAAAAAAAAAAGGTTGATTTATTGGAGATACACATGAGACTAGAGGGGGAAAATAGGTGAGTTAGAGAGGTAAAGGGATTTATTTGAATTTTATTTTTTATTTTATTTTTTAGAAGTTTGTATTAAAAGGACTTGGATTGAAGTTGCTCTTATGAAAGAAGAAGGTTGTTCTGCTTATGTGATTTACAGCTATGCTTCTCCTTTATTGCTGATTTTTGCTTCTTTGAGTTGGAAAGAGGGTGGATTTCATGTCCTCCCTTTTGTTCCTGCATCAAATAATGATATGTTGGGCCTCTTAAGGCAATTGACTGCATATAATGTGGTGAACTCAGCAGAAAATTGGGAGAGCTCACGGCAACAGGGCAGTGAGCCAGTTATGTGGATGTCATTTGGCATTGGTATGATAATGACATGATACATATATGGGCAAATGCATATGGTCAGAATATATAATTGGGCACAATGATGCCCACATACAGAAATGGATATGTAACATTTATGTGGAGATCAAGTACACGATTTGACATTTCTAAAAGTCTAGGATGCATATATGGATAATAGTATCAGATATGACATGTCAACAATTCATATTTTAGCTTGTATAATACATAAATATATGCGTCCCATATATTGATAAATGTTTATGTTGGGTTTTGTGGCCATTTAAAGGTTTTATGAGAGCATATACTGAAAAACATATAGTGAAATGTTGGCTCCAGTGGGAGTATGGTCCACTTTGGATTGTGAGGCATTTCTAATGCCTGGACATACCTTAGCTTTGACTGGCTATTGCTTAATGTGATGTCCAAAAACCTGTGGTCCTGGGCACGTGTGAATATAACTGATAAGGGTTTTTAATATGGGGTTATCCCTTGATGAGGTCGGAAATGTACCTAGGACAGTTTGTTAGGGGCCATGGATTTGATCCCTTTGTGTGATGGATGACTTGAGAGGATAGGGCCTAAATCCTCATCATTACCATCATATGACATGTACACTAGATAGCTATCAGGGAAGTGGCCCTTTTGGATAAGGGTGTGTGACGTGTACATGTGTAGAAGAGATGACTCCTTGCAACACTAGGCTGTGTTAGAAGGACCCATACTTGTCCTTAGGGAGAGACTTGTAATCCATGGTCTAGAATCGTATCATCTTCACTCTATTGACTGACTTTGATATTCCAATCATGAACCCCTACGAGTGAGTGGAGGTCATGGGAACTGTTGGGTCAGATTGAGAAGATACAGTGAGATACGGTCTCTAGAGAGGATGGAATCCTCATTATATTTGTTGTAATCCTAACTCTATGGATTCAATTCCCATCAAATCTTCTTAAATATGTTTAAATATATTCTAATTGAGAAATAATTTTTAACTAACGAACAATCAATTTTTTGGATTTTTTTTAATCAGAGAAAAATAAAATATTTAGAGATTTATAAAATTATTTTATTATAAAAAATTATGTTTAAAGTATTTGGGGGCCCATTGAGGTACATTTGGCCCACTATACTATGGGGTGTGGGGCCACATGGCCACCTAATGGGTAGTGTGCCTCACCTTTAAACTTTTCTAAATTGAAAGATGGTAATATGTTGACTTGATATTTTAAGGAACCTTTTGTGTAAAGATTTTGATTGATTTCAAAATCGAAAGGTATAAGAAATTAATAGTGATTGATTTCAAAACAGGAAGGTATAAGAAATTAATTGTAATTGATTTATTACTTTCTATTTGATGGGAATAGAGTTATGAAAACTGAGGGATAATGGTTCAACCTTATCCCTTTAATCATGATGGCTAATCTAAGGGATGAATTGATGAGATCTCTTCAGCCCACAGGTCTCATAGATCAAAGATCAAGATTAAGTCTCACAAAGATGACAAAATCCTAACCCTAGAAACCCTAGGCATTGATGGGGGAGACTTGGTGTGGGGTGTGCTAAGTCCTTGGGGGTGACTTGAGGCAAGGTATAAAGGGTATTATCTCGTTTTATGCTCTTATGTTTCCATTGCATCTTTATTTCCAGGTCTGTATCATGAATATATTTTTGTTTTAATGGCAAGCAAGTGTGAGTCTTTGGTGTTTTATTGGTCTCACATATTGTATTGGACACATGTGAGTGATTAGGGCAGCAATACTAAAGAAAAAGGTAGAAATTTTTTGATCGATATTGACTTGCCCGGTCACATAGTCCACCTTCCAGTTCATACTATATCTTGGTGCATCAGGTCATATTTTATTTATATTTTTATTGTTGTCATTTTATAGTTTATGGTTACAAGTATCGTAGGAATTTCTAGCATCAGTATCATTGTCGATACGAAATGACATTGGCACATTAACCATATACAAGTATTTGTGAATTGTAGATAATGTGCGTGCATGTGACTTGGACTATCCTTAGGCACTGAGATGATATGTTTTTGATAAATGAGATGAATTTGTTTTGGGCTGGTTATTTAATGACTGTGCTGGTCAAGAAAAATCTAATAAGTTGTAATCGCATAATATTCTATGGTGTGTCAATTGATAAAATGTGTGATCTAATTAGTGTTTTAAAATGTGGGATGCTACTCGATGCGGTCTGGATGTGGGTGCATCACGGCAATGCGGTCAATAAATATAAACAAAATTTTAAAAAATAAAAAAAATAGGTTAATGCATAGAAAAAAAAATGAAGGTGATATATATGATAATAGGTATTTAGTTTATTTAGTAATTCCAAAAGTATTAGATGTCGAAGATTTTGTATCCACTATCCCCTAATAGAAACTGGAAACTTGAAATGAGCTTCATAAAACATTCAACAAGCAACTATCGATTTCTTCACGGCCCTTGAAACCCTCGATTTGTTGTCACAAGTTTATCAAAACTTCTTCAAATCGACACCCAAAAGATACAAATCAACAACCAAGCATCAACAAATGCACAAATCGATGAACTTCAACAGATAAAATTTCTGCCCAAATTTTTTTTTGATTCAATCGATCCAATAAAAGCTTCGGATGTGGCTGAAAAATGTTGTTTGGGGGGTTTAATAGCCTCCCAAATCCTTTCCCCCCATTTTTGAAGGTCAAAATGACCGTATTACCCCTGCTCGAGGGGTACAATTTAAAAAAAAATGGCAAAGGATTATGCAGCCTGATGCGGAGGGATGCGTCGCATCTCTCCAAACCGCATATGCGGGGACTTTCGATGCGCTGCCTAGTTCAAAGTGCCTGATGCGGCCGCATATGCGGCGGTGCCGACGCACTTTAAACCACTAGATCTAATTGTTTTTGTAGAGTTCATTAATACCTTTCATAGATATTGTCCTGCTTGTATGAATCTAGAGAATTTATATTTTCATTCCAGGATCAAAAAGTCAAACTTGGTGTTCAACCAATAGAAGTCAAATCAAGTATACTTATGACGTGGGCTAGTTGACTTGGCTAGTGTTTCAATATTCTATTTTCTTTATTTTTCAGAATCGATTCAAACAAGTCTTAAAGGAAAACACATATGAGTAATTTGAAGTAATTTTTAACTTGCTAATGAAAATTAGAATATTTGTTAATTACGGTTTTTTGGTTTCATGGTTTAGTTGTTTATGAAATTTTGACCACAACTGAAGCCTTTTGTGACTTGTGAACTTTCATGTAGGGAGTAAGCAAGTTACAAGGTCCAAAGAGTATGGAGTGCCCAAGCCAAGGAAAAAGTCAAGACAATCCGATGCTAGCAAATGAAAACCACAACTTTGAGGTGACCTTGATATGTGGTTTCTGGAAATGTCGTTCACAGCATGTGATTCCTATGCATGAGCCTTTTGGAATTGAACTCGCCTTTTGTAATCGATAAAACATCTGAAATCAATTTTCACATCCTAGATGTATAAATGACTTGCACAATATTTGGAACTCCTGAATTTGAATGTTAATTAATTCTAGGCTCGTTTGATGCTTGGGCAGCTGAACATATCTCCATGAGGGATTCTACCTTTCCTTCTTTCCGTTTAATGGTGTGGCTCCTCAATTGCTGCTATCTTCTATCAGTTGGTGAAGTTCTGTCTTAATTTCTTTCTTGTTTTTGTGTATTTTCAGGTTTTGACACTTGAACACAAGACTCAGAATTATAAAACCATCTTAAGATCTTTGCTGAATCTTGATTCCATGGTTGAAAGGTCAGTTTTACATAAAATTCATTATGAATTTCCTATTATTGGCCAAGTTCATTTTATTTCCCTTACTACTGTTTGTTAAATCTTCTAAATGTTAAGGCCTTGGCTTCATTTAATTGTCTATTTTTTGATTGGCTTGCTTGAACATGAAGGGTTTGTATGGGCTTTGAGTTTGCATGGTTCTCACATGGGACGGACAGTTGCAGCGACAAAATTGACCGTTATATAAAGGACAACTGTTTTGTCCTAAACTAAATGATTTGGTTATAACTATGGTTCAAACTAAATGATTTGGTTATAACTTTGATTTGCCTTGTGTGAGTGAACTGGGCTTTGAGAGGATATAAGCCAAAACCCTGACTTATTGAGTTTGCTCACAGCATGGGCTTAAGACAGCTGCACTGGGAAGCCGCTGTGATGAGGTTTGATCCGCATGATCAGAACTATGCAAACATGCACAAAGAGGAGCCCCTGCTTCCACAAGAGTGCATGTTCTCGGGGGGAGCACCTGTAATCATTATAGTCCTGGAGACCGAACCACCTATTGATTAGCTTTGACGGGTTCAATTATATGTCCTAGCTTAAGCTTTAGAACATGGGGACAATTGGGCTGATTTGAGAACGTGGTATGTGTTTTTGGGAATAGCCCGGTGGAGTACTATTTGCTCAGCCTTCGAAGGATCCTAGTTTCTGGAATTGGATTTTTTTTGGATAGTTAGAATGAAAAATTCAGCTAAAATATAATTAAAATGATTTATTGTGATTTTTGGGTATTTTTGATAAATTTATTTTGATTGAAACTATTTTATAAAATTCGTTTTATAAAAAATACCATAATTAGGATGCGCACATGTGGGAGTGACACGAGTGGCCAATGTGCGTCACCCCCATGGGGCCTACATTGCCACATCACTGCCTAGTGGGAGTGATGTGGACTGTCTAATTGGTACGTGCAAGCATCCGTTGTTTAGTGAAGCCATTTGTAATATGTGTACTACGACTCATGTGTATAGTATGCATATGTGTGCATGTATGACAAGGCTTTTTACAATTTATTTCTAAAGTCGTGGGTTTTCATGCGACACGTCATACACATCAAGGTTGTGACCACAATGCATCAACCAAGGCGACAATGGACTATATTTTCTTACTGTTATGATGAAAGAAGACACAATATTTACAGCAGTGAGGTGCTCATGAGCTCAACCACTAACTAGGTACAATGTGGTGTATCAACTAAGTTGCAATGCCGCAAGTTGAGCAAAGCAACGATAAACCAACATCAATGCCACAAGGAGATCACAAGAACTCTAGATATGGGTTTGAAAAACTCAATGAAACAGACTTTAAATGGATCTTTATCTGCAGAAAATACAGCAGTAATCGAACGTAACGGTTGAGCTCATAAACTAGTATAAACGTGTCAAAACTTGGGCAATGGGTTTTCTCAACATGGGCTGTACATAAGCACCAGGATTGGGATTCTTAAATGATCAAAACAACATCATGAACCCACTGTTGTTACAACAATAACAGCCATAAAAGACAGCAAGATGGAGGCTCTTAGAAAAATGAGGAATGTACAAACTATGAGCACGATTTGTGCTCTACACGCACCAACTAAATGCACACCAAGATTTGGATCATAGTTATCGGGTCTCCTCCCTTTCTTGGCGATCCCTTGCAAAACCTCGATTCTCTCGATCTCGGAGCGGATCTCGTTTGAAACTCAATTTATTGTTTTCGGATCTCACTCCATCTTATAAGGGAACGAGTTCCTTATAATTTAATTTCGCGTTCCTGAACATTACAGGATCTAGTTCCCTAGTCTTGTGGTTTGCGCTCCAGAGTGCATTGGGATCTAGATTTCAAAATAACGGAACATAAGCATCGCCATATATGGCATCCAGATCCCACCAATGTGGGATCGTTTTAAAGTCTCTTATTTATTTCATAGAAGGACTAAGCCTACATGTTATTCGTTAACAACGGCGGGAGCTACATTTTAAATCAACAGATCCTCATTACCTACACAAGGAACTCGTGTTCTAAGAAAATGAAGCTCGCGTCTATAAAAGTTATTCCTCGCTCCATAATATTTGGGATCACTTTTAGTAATGCGCTTCCTGAGTTAAGAAACTAAAAAAAATGCCCTTGGGAACTTTGCTTCTTACGTATAGGAACTCACACTTTATATAATAGCTCTCGATCCTATGTAATAAAGGAGCTCAATCGCCAACACACATGGACCTCGATCCCAACCTTTGAGGTTGTATGGGCATCGATCCTTAACACAGGGATCTTCAGTATTATTGTTACCCGAATCGCCTATGAGGGTAGCGATTCCGTTTCGGAATCTCGATTCGCCATTTCTCCGGGTGAAAGTCGATTCTAAAAGAAAGAAATCACGTTTCCATTTTTTGCGGAATGCGATTCCACCTAGTTTAGGAATCTCGATTCTTGGATTGCCTGCATCAAGATTCCGTATCGAGGACTTTATGCTTCCTAGCTGCACAAGAATGCGATTCTTCTTGTAAGAAACGTTGATTCCAAATTTTTTGGAATTGCGAATCCATGTTGTTTGGATTCAAGTTTCTATATCGCAGACATCGTGATTCCTTGCTACATAACAATGCGATTCAACGTTTGCTAAACGTTGATTCAAAGTATTAAGAAATTGCGAATCCATGTTGTCAGGAAGCAATGTGAGCATAGGGAGAGCAGAAACCTTCGATGTGTGCTCAATCATCAGTGAGCGCCGACGTCTATGTGAGCGTGATAGAATTTGAAGTTGTTGCACACAACAATAAAATCAAAATTTAAAATGAGTAATATGTGAGCATAGGGAGAGTATAGGGTGAGCAAAAACCCTTCTATGTGTGCTCAATCATGAGTGAGTGCGACATATATGAGGGTGTGAGAGAATTTGAAGTCGTTGCACACGGTAATAAAATCAAAATTTAAAATATAAGTAATATGTTAAATTTTTTATTTTCTTATTTACAAATTTTCATCCTTCATTCCATGTTACTTTTTAAGAACTCTTATCAAGAATAAATAATACTAAAAAAATATGTTACTTCAAATTTAATAATGTTTGGTAAATTGTGTGGATACTCACCTACGAATGTAATAATGTTTAATATATGATCGGCACCGTCAGTTCTTCAAGTTGAATAAGAGGATAAAAATGCTTTTTTTTAAGTAAAATAAGAAGATAATATGGATATGAGCGACGATTGTTGATTCCAAGTTGATGGGGAGAATATTGATAATATGGATATGAGCGACGATTTTTAAATAACCCTTACCATAATGGTGAGAATGTTTATTCCAAGTTGACGGGGACAACGATTCTAGAATTTTAGGAATCACGATTCCTTATTTTTAGGAATCATGATTCCAGCAACTACTGAAACAAGTGGGGTCATGCGTGATTCCATATAGGTATGAAACGTGAGTCCAACATGGAGGGACATCGATTCTTGCAAATAAGAAACACGATTCTTAATTTTTTGAATCGAGATCCCGAAATAGTGAGAATCATTTTTTTCAAATCCGAATCGTATGGGTAGCGATTCCTAGATTTCAAAAGTTTTGATATGCGCGATTCCGATTCCAGAAACGATTCAGAATCACAGGCGTTTCCAAGAACTATATTCACTATAGCTTTGATCTGTCGATTCCGCTCTCGATCCCGGAACCGTTTCCGTTCCCGTACCCATCAACTATGATTTGGATTCGCAAATTATCAAAACAACATCATGAACACAGTTGGGACAACAATAATAGTCATAAAATACAGCAAGATGGAGGCTCTTAGAAACTTGAGGACTGTACAAAATATGAGCATGATTTGGGCTCTACATGCACCAACTAAATGTATACCAAGATTTTGGATTCTCAAATGATCAAAACAGCATCACAAACCCACTGTTATAACAACAATGACAATCACAAAATACAGCAAGATGGTGGCTCTTAGAAACTTGAGGAATGCTCAAACTATGAGCACAATTTGTGCTCTACACGCACCAACTAAATGCAAACTATAACATATACAAGATTTGACAAGACAAGAAATAGAAACACAAATATGCCAACATCTACTGCAAATTTACAGGAATGATACTCATGAGAGGGTCAAAGACTCACCACATAGAGGCTTGGCTGCATATTCATGGGGAGGTCTTTTCACGACATGAAGAACATGAGACTTGATCTTGTCAACAATAAAGGGAATGAATAGGCTGGTTTGCGAGGCTCTTAGTAGGCTCGTTAGGTGGCTCCAGAGGCTGGGCTCTCCCACATAAATAGGCTCAAAAGCATGGCTAGGCCCTAGACCTCAAGCCCCTTTCATAGAGTGCAGGATAGTGCTGTGCACATAAGATTGAATCCAAGCACTCCATTAGACAATCCAAGGGTTGAGAGAGGCTAGAACACTATAGCCTAATCCATCACTATGCATTGCGATCATTGGATGGTGATGATCTAATCTTACACCCTTAATCACTATTGTCCCTCAACATGCCTCCAATTTCCCTTAAATATCTATTTACCCTTTATCACTATATGTGCGTTATCACCATTAGTTTAACAAAGAACAAAATCTTGTTTTAAGTAACAAACACTATGCTTATTAGGTGGGGCGTGCCCCTCACTCCTTAATTGGAATTTATTCTCTCTCATGAAGGCAACAAAATAACTTGTTTTATAGGTAACTTTCATTATCACCATAATCTCACATTACACTTGTTTGTTCCTTCTTCCTCATAGCACATGTCACTATCTAACGTACTTAACCAATCCTCACTTAACGACCTGATAAGACTAATTGACTAAGCCATATGATTGGATCATTAAAAGAAAATTTATAAATAAATTGTAAAAAATCATGTCACACATGCACATATGTGTACACTATACACGAGTTATAACACACATATCACAAATAGCTTCACTAAACAAACAAACTCTTGCACAAACCAACTTGACAGTCCTCGTCGCTCCCACTGGGCAGTGATGTGGCAATGTGGGCCCCATGGGGGTGATACACATTGGCCACTTGTGTGTCACTTCCACATGTGCGAGAGTCCCAATTATGATATTTTTGATAAAAAGATTTTTATAAAATAGTTTCCATCAAAATAAATATTCTTAAAATTCTTAAAAATACAATAAATCATTTTAATAATATTTTATCTGAATTTCTCATTCTGGCTATCTAGAAAAATCCAACTCGAAAAATTAGGATCCTTGGAGGGTGGGCGAATGGTACTCCACCGGGCTATTCCCGAAAACACAGACCACGTTTTCAAATCAGCCCAATTGGCTCCATGTTCTAAAGCTTAAGCTAGGAGCTATGATTGGACCCATTAAAGCTAACCAATAGGTGGTTCGGTCTCTGGAAGTACAGTGGATTACAGGTGCGCCCCTGAGGACATGCACTCTTGTAGATGCAGGGGCTCCTCTCTGTGCACTTGTGCATAACTCTGATTCAATAGATCTAACTTCATCAGAACGGCTTCCCAATGTGACTTTTTTATGTACAGCTTGTGAGTGAACTTGATAAATTAGGGATTTGGCTTATGTCCTTTCAGAGCCCAGTTCACTCATATAGGGCAATCCAAAGCATACTGAAAAACACGATCCATTCACACATGCCCTGGCCACAACCGTCATGAGACGCTTACGCCGACCTTGACTAGAGGGAATCCTCAAACCTCTTGATTTCAAACGAAAAGGTCCAACACAATTGCCTCATGACTTGGGGGTTTCAGGCCTAATCAAATCCCATTTCTCATAGACTTCGGTAGCCTCGCTGTTCTTGGTCATTCCCAGTGGAACTGAGAACCTAGCTGGCAAATACAATGCCCTGAAAGGCCATAATTCCAACATTCTCCCACTTGGCCTTATGAGGCCTTGAGAATCTACACGAGCAGCACTCTGCTCATCGAAGCCAGCTACAAAGTCCTTTCAATATTCATATCCTAGCAATACTATGCTCTCAATGCACTCTATTGAGCAATATCTTTCTCTTGCATGGATACTAAATAATTAAACAGAGGCTAATGCAAAAATGTCCCATCACATGATATTTTATCAGATGCAAATTTATTATCGGGCCTATAGTTACTGTTTTTCTTAAGGACGATATATCAACAAAATTTGGCCTCCTGCAATTCATTGTACAAAGCTTGCCTGGTTATGAGTGTCCTCTTAAAAACTCTTATCAGCCTCAAAATCCTTTCTAGATAGTATTTCTAGGTCATCTCACCAACTAACTGACCGATAAGTCTTGTCACAACCGCCTCATAAAACGGGGCATCAAAATATACTGGCCATGGGTGGTTATCAGATTGCAAAAATGGTATTAACAACACTATCCCACTCCCCTTGATCTGATCATTTATAAAAATTTTCATCTTTTACTGATGTTATACAATTTATCCCTTTTAAATCATCTGTTATGCTTATTCAATGATATTTGGCTTCATTTGACAAAAAACGTCACTCGTTACTGATGAAATACCCAAATTTGGAAATTTCGTGGCATGAAATTAACAGTGTTTACACTCTTGCCATCTTAGTTTTGGTCAAGGGAAGATGTTATAGTGACTATGTCATGGTTGTGGACTTATTATCCTAATTTAGAAACAAACTAAGAGCTGCAGGGAGATCTAAACCCACTCAAAGGTGTTTGTAAATAAGCTAATTGGGTAATTTTTTTTAGCTTCATCCAAAATAGCATGGCCACATCAGTAAGATTTAGCCCTCCACGTGCAAATATGGCTGTGGCTTGATTGTGATGTATGTGCTTGTGATGGAGTAATTATGGAACATGGAATTTTCTATGGGAATTTGCCGTTTGTCCATTAATATGCAATGATTGGTAGTCCATCTTTGCTGCTGAAAATTCATTTTGTTGCTAAAGTTTAATTGCAAACGAGGAAGAATTGTTATACCTGCATGTGTCTTTTCCTTTTTCTATTTTTGTGGATTTCATTATTTATATTTTTGTAGGCTTGAAGCCATTCAGCAAGTTGAGGATTTACTCTTTGGTGTTAAGGTCATTGAGTTTGAGAAGAATTGTATTCGGTTGTCTTTGAAGACATCCATTCCAACTTCCTGGGACTCGTTATGTTTCATTGAGTCATGTGTAACACCTCACGAATTATTAATAGAACTTGATGGGATGTTTGAGCTGAAGGGTGTGGAGGTAATTTCTTTAATTATGAGAGTGATAAGTGTTTGTCAATTATTAGTATTGAGTTGTCTGTTAACATAGATGTGTGCATGTTGTTTGGGTCCATGCATTGGTGTGCCCTTGTTGATTATGTTTTAATGTTTGAGCTGAAGGATTTGGATGAAATTTCCATTATGTATGACAATGATGTATGTATGACAATTATTCTTCCGACATATTTATTGATTTTCCAAATGGTTCTATTTTAAACTTCATAACTTAGGGATGATGGAGCCTGTACAAAAATATTTGGACAGGTTAGTTTTCATTTTAGACAATCATGGCTTGAAGTGAGGGTTAAAGCCATCAATCTTTTCACCTTAGATGATTGAAATTGTTGGTTTGATGGATGTATAGTTTTTTGGCAGCAATACCTGTATGTTCAATATGCAAGTGCATTTGAAGTGTTGAAAATGTCGGGTGATGAATGTAAGATGATGTGAATGAGAGCTTATGGCTGTCGGGTACTATAATTGGCAAACCTGAATTTGGGTTTGGGTTTCTGGATGATTCCCAATAAATATGTGCATTGTTCACAAACCGTTCTGAACTTTGACACGCTCAATAAATTGGGCTAAATCAACATGATGACCCAATGAGTCTGCCAGACATGTATCTATAGAATGTTTAAGAAGTTTACGTTATGAATTCTATTCCTTTTAGGAAAGACATGAAATTTGGCCAAGATTTTACCTTATATTGACCAAGAAATATACTGGAGCAGGGTGACCAAGGTAAGTCCCAGGTTAATCCATACGCAAATCTTGACCCTCTTAAGAAATCATGGTGGCGTGGCTTTTCCTTTTCCTGCCTTTGCGAGCGCTCTTGCCCAAAATCCGGAGTACTAGGTTGTTGATTGCTTTGAGGCGAAGGCATAATGCTACTACGGGGAGACTTGCTATTTGGAGGATTCCTATGGACATGGGAAAGGATGTGATGGGTGATATGTGAGGGTTGGTTTAGAAGACATGGAAAAGTGGGTAAGGAGTATATATTTAGAAAAAAATATCAATTAACTCATACTGAGCCCTTTTATGCTAAATCTTTTATTTTTTTTATTTTGTGGGGGGGGGGGGAGGGGGGTGTAGCAACATGCCTTTACTACATTTGTGTTTAAGAAGAAAAATGCTCGCTTGAGGTCTTTGTTGCTTTGGCTATCATACAAGTAGAAATTACTGGCCATTGATATTTATGGTTGACTTGTGCCTTCTATTTAAGTTGGAAGAAGTAGTCCTCCAATTCAAATGCAATTTGGTTGTGTGGTCAACTATATAATTTATTTTTTTAGTATGGGCTGGGTTTTTCCGCATTGAATTTTATGTTTTGTAAAATTCTAAGGCATTTAATGAGGCAAGGGATGATGATATGAGTTGATGTCATTTGATGAGGTCTCACTTCTTAAGAAATGAGTAACTAGATTTGAAATCATGAATTGATATGAAAGGGATGTTGTCCTTGATGAATGTTATCAAGTTTAGTTTTGATGGAGCAGAAAAATGGAAATTTTTGGGTTAATGAGAAGCTTTTATAGGGTTGAGTAAAGGGTAAAGACTCCCCTTGGGTGTGTCATTACAGTGCTTGACCTTAGAAAGTAGTGGAAATCTTAATAAATGATGTTCTTTGAGGCATGTTATGTTTCTTTTGTTAAGGATAGTATTTGTAACCCTTTTGTGCAAGGGAATAGCCAGCTAAGATATATACGTTAGGTTTCCAATTTATCTCTGACGCCTTTAGGAAGGTATGCAGAACAAGTATTGCCATAAAACTTGAATGCTCGACATTTGGTGATTTCTCATCAACTTAACAAATGGACTAGCGGTACTTAAACCAGGCGAAGGTAGATGATTAGTAGTCACACTACCTGCAACTGATAGATCATCACATATGTTTTGAACAAACAATTCCAGGTAATACCAACTGCTACGCCTATACACAACTAAACAAAACAAATGATCCAAAGAAGCAGATCGGACAAATAAATAGCTTGTATAGACCTGAAATCAGCCTAAACTAATCTTAACTACTGTAGAAATTTATTAAATTTGGGCGCATAAGACCTGTCCCCTTGATGTACAATTCCAGCACATATTTGAGAAATAGAACTAAAAAATTCCTCTAAATTAACTCTATCTACCCAAAGTTCTAAAACAAAACTTGAAAAAACTCTCAAACCAAATAAGAAACAATCCTAGGACTGTGTCTGTTATCTGATTGGCAAGTTACCTGTTGGATATGGAAACCGAAACTTATAAATCTTACTTTTGGGAAATCCTCCTGAACAGAATCTAAATCTAAAAGAATCCATGAAGATCTAATGATGCTTTCTCTAATATTATGTCCATTCAGAAGTTGGAGAGGGCCCTGGTTGAAATCATCGCATTGTCATGTTGACCTCCTCAATGATGGCCTGCAATATCCATATTCATTGATTCTTCTTGTCTATGCTTGTATTCTCCTCTTCTTCTCTTCTTTGAGATTTTATATTGGAATCTGTATCAAGTTCTTAGTATGCTTTGTAAGACTTGGAAACTTTTGAAAAACTTGTGTGTTGATTTCCTGTTATTTATGAAATATTTGATTTTAGGAAACTGGTTTTATTCCAACAGTGTCCAATGATCATATTCTTGTGATGCTCTTCCTACATTAATGTCTAAATTATTCTGTGCAATGGGCAGATATTTCCAAATGATGTATATATATGTGACATTGTCAATACTGCATGGTCTCAAAGGTACACATATATCTTTTTTTAGATTCCATCATCATTTGTTGCTTGTAATGTATGCGATGTATGTGTATATGTATGTTAATGTATTCGATGTATGTGTATATGTATGTTATGTGTATATTACCACACTTGTATTATATATAAGGGATGGGAATCAGTTTTATGTTATTCTGCCTCTGTACTAGGTTTTCTCAGATTACAATATGGCAATGCCTGAATTTTTCTGGAAGTGATTATTAAGTTCTATAGCTAGATGTTGGGAATGGATATGATTTTCTGGGGTGCAATTGTCACAGTTCAACTCACCTCTCTTTGTTGTCAAATTGATGTGCATATTTGGATGGTGTGTCTTGGTTGAGTCAGGTAATTATTTCTCGTTGGCATGTGTGTGAGGTTGGTTGGTAGTCTAGGTCTTTGAAGATAAGGGGTGTTGTTGTTACTTAGCTCCCATAATTGAGTGTTTAGAGCATTTATTTTGATTCAAATTCAAGTATTAAATTAATAAAGTACTTAATCGGCACATAATCTTCTATTTAAAGCTTAAAGCTACTGGGGCGCGACAAGGTTTATAACTCAACATATTGGCCTTTTCTAGCATATCTAAAGCATATTTCTGCTGTGAAAGGTGAATCTCATTACAAGAACGATCCACTTCTCCTAGGAAATATCTCAATTCTCCTAGGTCCTTCATTTGAAACCTTTCATTGAGGAACTCCTTTACTTCATTTATCATTGGCTGGTTGAGTAAAACCTCTCCCATTTAATGCATCATAAGAAGTACGGAACTAGCATCTGGATGCCTGCTTCAGCCCATATACAGATCTCTTTGACTTACACACATATTCAATTGGATTTGCTTCATTGAACCCTGGTGCTGTTCCATATATACTTCCTCCTTGATTCTCCATGCAAGAAAGCATTTTTAACATCCAATTGATAAAGTGGCCAAATCGTGCATGACAGCAAGGGATATAACAACCGTAAGAATTATAACAATTGGACTAAATGCTCCAAGCCATTTCATTGGTTAAATCATCCTGCCACAAGTCTTGCCTTAAACCATTCAATGTTCCCAACAGGTATACATTTCTTTGTCCACCAATTTATAACTCACCACATTCTTGTCTCTTGGCCTTCGTCAGGTCCACCAAGTATGGTTAATATGCGTAGCTTGTCTCTCATCTGCCCTTGCTCTAATCCACCTTTCATCTCTTCTGGCGTCAAATAAATTTTTGTATTCTTTTATCTTCGTCATTTCACACATGAACTCCTGAAAATTATGTGTGAAGCTCCCATAGTTGCCCTATCTATCAATAACATGTTTCACTCTTGCTGATCTTCTCGAATTGACTTCATCTTGCTGCTCATTCTCTGGTTGTTCTCTATCTCGAGGCTGTTTGCAAGCTTGTAAAATTTGCTGTAAATTATGAGGTTGCTGTCCAATATTTGGCCTTCTTTGATATGCAATTACGTCTTGCTGATTTGTTTATTTTTCACTTTTACATTGGTACCAAAGAAGGGTCGAAAATCTTCTCCTAGGTCATACAGTGCCTCTTCGTGGATAAGTTGTTCGATCTGGCGGCCACCTTCCGGATTTGGGTCAGTCATGTCTCCATCTGCCTTTTCTATTTCAGCGTCATCTCCAATATGTTCTGCATCATTTCTCGTCTTTGTTGTTTTCTGCAAAGGTTTTGAATATTTTAACCATCAGATGGTGAATATGATGGTGAATTGCATCACCTTGAATTTTATTTCCTTTAAAAATTGCGTCACTTATAGACATTTCCTTTGGCATAAGCACCTTTCATCAAAACAACATGCCTGGAAATTAATATCTTTTCAATCTAGGACTGTAATATCTATGTCCTTATACTCATCAGCATAGCCAACAAATATGTTGCACAAGTCAAACTTAGGGAGAGCTTATTTCTTTGGCTGCTATCTGTGTGCATTTATGCATAGCATCCAAAGGCCTTCAAAATAGAATAATCTAGATGTCTACCAACAAGACTCTATAAGGGATGATCCCGTTAAGAGCACTTGATGACGTCCTAGTAATGAGTTATGCAACTGTGAAATGGCTCAGTCCATAAGTACTTGGGCACACCACTAGAAAACATAAGAGACATTGCTACCTCATTAATATGCCAAATCTTTCTCTCAGCAACGCAGTTTTGGGCTAAAGTGTGTGGACAAAAGATTTGTTGTTCTATTCGATGATCCTTTTAAGTAGTTCTTGAAAGCATGAGATGAGTACTCTTCTCCTCCATCACTACGAAAAAATAAAATTGGTTTTCAGTAATGTTTTTTAACAAATGACTTGAACTTCATGAATACCCTGAATATATGAGATTTGGTTTTGAGAAAAACATCCATGTATAATCCAAGTAATCATCAATGAAGGTAAACTAATAATGAGAACGAGAAGAAGAACAACAGGAGCAAGACCCCACACAATTAACTCAAACAACGAAAAAGCTCTTCTATTACTTAAAGAAAAGGGAAAACCTAGAACTTTTACCCAACTGACATCCATAACAAATAAATCAACTAAAATCTTTAACGTTAGAGGGTACAACACCCTCATTACAAAGTTTATCGCATATAACCATCCACGACGAGTTCTCCTAGCATACGTGATTCCTGATTGTTGTACCTTCAAGAAAACAAATTGGGAGTAAATAGACTGTAAATCCATTATCACCCACTAGTTGGGAAACAAAAATTGATTGTCTGATTTAAAACAAGGAAAACATGATTCAAGTGAATAGGACCAAAATAAGACTCAAATGTGACATTACCTACATGTGTGATGTCAAGGGAGGACCCGTCACCAATTATAATAGAACCACTTAAAAAATCAAGGGAAGAAAACATGGTCGGCAGCCCCACTATCTACAGTCCATGCTCCATCAGTAAAGTGATTCCATAGAATTATGTAATGCTGCAGCCGTACTCTCAGTGTTGCCTAAGGCAGTAATTTGAATTCCTCCTTGAAATCTCATTGTCATTTTCATATTTGTTGAAACAGTTGCGGGCCGAATGCCCTTTCCACATATTTGACCAAATACTTTATTTCCGTTTCCATTAGGAGTAGGTAAGAGACCTCGACCAACACCATAGAAGTTTCTTCCACCACAAGCATTTTTCCACCTCAACCCCCAATTGTTCTTTCCTAAAAAATTATTGGAATTTTGTGCATTATTGCTCTTGTTAGTAACAAGGACATCGTGGTTCTCATTACTTGGGGACGAGTTTTGTGCCGCTTTTCGAAAGTACAATGCCTATGGTGTAGCAACATGCATCGAGGGTTGGCAAAAGAAGGGAGATATGACAAAAGGTCTATGGCCTTCATCCACAACCCACATAGTACATATTGCACCTTGTCTCTATCTTCAACTAGCTGTTGAACAATTTCAAGTGGATTGCATATTTCCTTTATCTTGTTATAAAAGATACTGACATCTTCCCCTTCTTAAAATCTAGAAGTTCAGATTTTAATTGCATAACACAAGCTTCTGATTCCTGAGAGTTGGACTTTCGACGGCTGTCCAAAGATCATATGCTGTATGTAGATTCACCACTTGAGCCAAATTTCTTTAGACAAGGTCGAATTAATCCAGCCAATAAGATTATGATCTTTAGTGAGCCACTCTTCATAGGCTGGATTGACTACTGTCGTTGTCTCTATCTTTTCATTTGAATTTGTGCTTTCTTGAACAATGTATTCTGGTGGTGCCCTAGTGGATCCATCCAAATGGCCACAGAGGCATTGACCTTTGATGAAGGGAACAAAAATTACTTTCTAGACAATAAAATTATAAAATTTAAGTTTGACGGAGACATATTGACAATTTGGGAATGAAAAGGAATTAGAACTTGATTATTGTGTCATTGTAAGGAAATGGGCTCAAATTATAATTGTGGTAGATCTAGAAACTAGAGAATAAGAGGGTAGATCTAGAAAATAGAGAATAAGGGGTCTATAGGGAATAAGAAACTAGAGATAGATTAAAAGAGAGTATAGAAGGAGAAAAGCAGTTGGGTTTTGGACCAGATTTCAAGAACCGAAAAGGAGAATAGCAAGTATGGTACTATAGATTTCAAACAAGATCTAGGATTTTATATTGAATGAAGAGAGAATCAAGAGTTTTGTGGTTGAAATATGAGGCTTTGAAAAAAGAACAATAGTGTGAACAGTGACATGATCAGTAATGTGAACAGTGATGTGAATAGTAGTGTGAACAATAATGTGAACTATAGCATGACCAATAGGTGCCCCTAGTATGGAGGAAATATGAGATAAAAAGATTAGGGTTTAGGAAGGAAGGTTGAGAATGATGAAAGAGGGTAACGATGAAAAAAAAGAAAGATTAGGGTGAGAAGAGGAAGAGATAATGAATCTTCACAGAGAAGGAAATATAGGTTACCTTGATTAGAGTTGATCGCGCTGAGTATATATTCAAACCTGCTTTGATACCATGTTAGCTTATGCTGACAAGATCTTGCACCTGGAATACAAATAAGAGGAAGAGGAGAGATAGGACAAAAGGCATGCTAGGCTTTGGCATGAACAAAACTGGGTTAATGTGGCATGCCCAGGATATTGACCCTATATATTACATGAGTGATTTTACCTTAGGGCAACAACTTTATAAAAAGGGTGTAGTTTGCAATTTCAACCTTAAACAATCCAATTAAGGCGCACCTCCAAATTATATCATAAGATGTAATTTTGGTGTCCAAACTTCTTAGGATTGCCTGAAAATCTATTTCCATAGCTAATTAGAAAATTTTAAACTCCAAAAATAGTTCAAATCAAGTAGATTTATAAACATGTGTAAATCTTGAAAATGGATGGTCTAAATAATGTATTGCTAGTGCACTATTTCTAGGACTCAAAATCTTTTTCTTTTTCATATTCGTACATCTCAATGTCGAGATGATCAATTAGAGGTTTCTCAACATTAAAACCTTTTATGATGGATTTTTGAGGTGCACCT